GATGCTTACACAGCTTTTTTTTTTTTTTCCCTTGCTGAAATGAAATCCCAAAACATTCACTTCCTATGTGAGCATTTTTAACAGCAGCAAAGCAATGGTCAAGCACCATTCCTGACACCAAGCTCTCTCTGGGACGCCTTCACTTCACAGTAAGTCATTAACTGATCCTTAGGTCAAAGAAAGGAACAAGAGGGAGGTAACAGCCATGGAACTTGTGGACTGAGCACAAGTGCACACCAGTCTCATTTTCTCCCAGGCTCGAAGAACATTTAAATTATCCCACTGTGAGCAGAACAGATTCAGCTAAAGAGAAAGAGAGCAGCCTGTGAACAACACAGCTTGCATGGCATGGCATCCCCTGGGAGGTGGTAGCACATGCTTAGGCCACTTTCAGAAGGGACAGCCACCAGCTTGTGTTTGCCAAGCAGGAGCAGAGGGCCCCGCTCCGCACGCTGGCGGAAGGGACCACCTGCTTGTCTGCACACTCACCTGAGATTCCTGGCGCACGCTGACCTCCTCCCCTCCGTCCTTCTCCGCCTCCTCCTTGCTTGGTGACCTGGATACATATTTGGTTTTGTTCACGGATTCCTCAACCACCTTTTTTTCAGACTCCTTCATTATCTCCAGAGACTCCTGTGTTGTGTTGCTGTTTGACATCTTCAGAGCCCTACAACGCAGCAATGGGCACCTGCTGGAAGAGGCAACAGAACAGGCAGAAAGGAGTCAGGGGGTGGAGGGAGTTTCTGTCTGGAACACAAACTCTTGCTCACATAGGTTGTAACTTCCTTGTAACTGATCTGGTGTACAAAGACTCCAGTCAAGCACTCCACTGACAGTCCACTCACTCATCCCCTTGGACGCAGCCCCTCGCAGCACCTGGCTCAAGGGGACCTTGTAGTAGCTCCATGGTTCTCAGCAGGACTCTGGAGACACCAGCAGGGCTGAACAAAGCCTCTGAGATACAGAGGTCCTCGGTGCAGGCACTCTGCCCTTTAACCCCTTTGATGCGAGTGGGAGACTGAGGGCAGCCCTAGTGCTGGCTGAGCCCCAGAGGCAGGGAATTCAGGAGATTAAAAACTCAGGCAACCAGGGGAGCGTGCTCTGCCCAGGACAAACAGCAACAAAAATCTGCATTTTTTTTCCCAAATCCCAGTCCAGTCCTCCTTGCAATCAAACCTTCAGTGAGAAAACAGCCTCGTACCCAAGACGTTGCTCTGGTTCTTCCTGTGAAATAAGGTAACCCCAGACACCTCCCCTCTAGCTGCCCATGGTCAGATACTTCAGGAAAACGGGGAGTCAAACAGTAACAGTCACATTACAGATGAAGATGAACAAATAATGCTTCCTGACAAAGCTGCGTTTAATTGCTTCCTTCTGATTAGCAAGAACACAGGCAGCCCACAGAGCCCCCGAAACCACCTCGGAATTACGGCGGGATCCAGACAGGGCAGCGACACGTGCATCAGTCCGCTGACAGTCCTCAACAGGAGCAACGAACGTGTCACTTACCCAGTCACCAAACTGTGTTAATTCCAAGCCCATTATCTAGAATTGAGACGTTGGCCCTCCCAGCTAACTCGAAGCAGCCCCCCTGAGCTCGAGCGAGGGCTAAACCAGCCCACGGAGGGCTGCAGAGGGATCCTGGCACTGCGGAACACGTCTGCCTGCACAGAGCCCAGTGTTCATGCTGATGACAGATGAGGAGGCTGGATGAAGGCAGGATAACAGGCAGGCCCACTGAGACAAGTTTCCAAAAAGAAAAAGAGAAATCTAAACTTGAGAGAGGCTCAAACAAAAGGTCTGGGCACTGGAAAACACAGCTGATGTTTAACAACTGGTTTTATTAATTGCTTTGGCAGAACATAGCTGAAAGAGAGTCAGATCTCAGAGATTTATCAACTCTTGGCTCTGCATGGGAACTGCTAATATTCATTAACTAATTCAGCCTCATTCCTCTTCAATTTCTGGGGCTGCTGAACATAAAACATGCATTTGACTCTTATTGCAGCTACTGGAACCAGTTCCAGATACAGAAAGCCAGAGAGCGCAATCCACTGCTTCCAGTTCATGGATTCTTACAGGGATCTGCAACAAACTGCAGACACTCAGGGCAGATGCCTTGTTGTGAACGGAAAATGCTGTGTGCTGCAGGCACACCCTCGAGACAGGGCTGCAGCCAGAGAAACCACAGTACCACGCAGCAAGGATGTATGCCTGGGAGATGCCAGCACTGCACTGGATCGGAGCGGGAGGACAGGACAGGACACATACTGACAAAGGGAGGAAGCTATGGTCATCTCAGCTCTCCTTCACACCTGCCATCGCCTGTTCTAGACTTGTGATGAGCCTTCCCCCAGCAATAAGACTCACTCCTGTCCATTCTGAGTCACAGATGGGAGAACCAGGAAAGGAAAAAGTTACTTAACCCATGGCCTTGATCAGCAAGTGGCACCTTGAGGTTGTGTGGGAAATACCCCCACTGACCCCAGAGAATTCACAGAAAAAGGGTGAAGGGAAAGCAAAAAAAGCCGACGCAGACGAAGCTGACAGGGCTGCACTGTCCTGTGTACACACAGAACCAGAATGTTCCAAGGCAGACGGGGGTATCCGTAGGAAAGGGACGGCGGATGTTATGGGTTGATATAGGTGACCCAACACATCCCAGCACTGTACGAAAACGAGGTACTTCTCACTAGACAGAACTGCTGGGACATCCCAGCCACTGCTCACACGCGTTCACTCTGGAGCAGGAAGGTTACAAGACACTCACTGTTAACTCCATAAGCAACTTCCTATGTCGCACACCTGAAAGTTTAAGATGAGGACAGGAGGGGCAGAAGGCTCCTTCCCACCTGAGGGGCAATGCTGAACAAACATAACTGGGCAAGGTCCCAGCATTGTCACGCTGTACCAGGCAGGCTGTCCCCACAACCAAACTGGTGGCTCCTGGCAGAAAATAGCTGCCATCGACAGCTTGTTCCAGAACAGGAAGCAGAGAGCACTCTGCTGTTGACGTCAGCCTTGCGAGGCGATTCTGCAGACGCCTCTCCCTGCCGGAGGCTAACGATTTCCAAGCGCACGGCCTCAAACGGCAGGTGGAAGAGATGGCGAGAGCACCTCAGCCCACTATTCTGAATGCTGATCAGTGCAAATCCTTGCACTGCATGGCTGCTCCCTGCCCCTTCCTGGCACAGTCCCACGGACGATCCCATTGGCACGCCTCTCCTGGAGCTCCCCTGCAGGAAGCAGCTTCCCCCAGGGAATCGCGGAGGTGTCCATCCTCCAGCTGCAAGGGTCTGTCCTTCATGCCGGCAGGCTGAGTGTCCAGCTAGAGGAGCCGCAGTGGAGCTCCCAGGTTTGCAGCAGCGTGCATGGTCTGTGCTGCACGGGGTGGTGAGCCCCGCACGAGGGAGTCGTGCTCTGCTGCGACGCCTCCGACGGGAACTAGGTCAGGAACGGAAAACGGAGCACTTGCTTGACTTGCACGCCAGCCTCCTTAGCGGGAGTCTGGATTATGCAGAGGGTGAAGTGGGAGACTCTGCCTCCTCCCTCCCCAAAATGTTCCATGCTGTAGGAAACTGCTCCAGCCTCATGTCCAGGCCACGAGCCAAAAAAATCTGTAGCAGATTCGGGGAAGAGATGCAGAAGGAGGCACCTCATCTGCACACACGACACTTACCTAGAGGGGGAATTTCTGCACTTAAAATAAAGGAGCAGGTTTCATACAGCTCATTCTCTTTGCAACAGCCACCCTATAACAAGATTCTACCCCGAAGCCAAGCACCTCGGTCAAATTTGAGAGGGGTAACAGCATCTTTTCTCATCATACTGCAATGTAACTTTGGCATCACAAGGGGAATATCATCAGCTTTCCCTCTCCTTTTCCAGAAAAGACAACTCAGAGCCACTGAATTGACATTTGTACATTGTCCCCTCCTGATAAAGCTTCCGTCCCCGACAGCAATCCCCCAGGACATCTCCCTGCACCTAAAATGCAAAGAAGATCTGTGCACTGCTAGCGCTTCTCAACAGCGATGCTTTCCAGAGGAGGTTTCCTTTCTGTATGAATGAATCAGCCCTGCTCCCCCAGGACAGACGTGGGATGCGATGAGGGGGTGGCAGACATGATCTGCTGTGACAGACAACAGCTTGCAGAGAAAGTAGAAGTTCAGAGGACTTGGTGGGGTGGGTGGGACTGAGCTGTGCCTTGCCAGGGAGATGGAAAGATTACGTAGATACGACATCAGGGAAGCCACAAAATCCACGTCAGGAAGGAGAACAACGGAGCAACAGAAGGTGGGTGAGCTGCCATCGATTTTTCGGTTTGGGTCGGAGGCTGGCAAGTAAGCAGGGCAGTCGAGGCAGTGACAGCGTGAACACTTTGTGCATGCTGGCCAAGGGCCAGGGGAAGGGGCAGCCAGGACAGGTTTACATCCTCTTCACCCTGAAGGGGAACATTGAATTCCCCCCCTGCTGCCTTCTCCTGCATGGAATTTGCAGCTGCCAAGCCATGACAACGCAGGCAGCAGCTGGTCCTGGTTAGGCAGGAAAAACAAAGCAAGAAGCTTCTGCATTCACAGTTAGGATGGATCCAGCAGCAAATCTGGGGAAGGCAGGAAGCCTCCTGCTAAACGCCTTCTCTTCCTGGCCTTGTTCTCAGAGTGCAGACACGCTCCTGTAAGCTCAATGAGGGTGCAAAGGAGACATATGGCTACTTGGCTGGAGCTGCCTACATCTACGCTCCTGTGTTGCGACCGCATAGAGGTATCTGAGGCAGCTCATCCCACCACGCAAGAGAGCGAAGCTACCTCTCGGTTTTCAGGGGGAAAGGAAACAAGTGTGAGTGGGCTCCACTTTCTCAGTCCCTGTCCAAGCCATGACCACAGGAGAAGTTTGCATGCTTACAGCCGCCTTGACCAGGCTTCACAATTTGCTTCGAAGACAAGAACCTTGACTCAATTCCCCTTCACCTCCTCCCTCGGTTATTAACCAATTCTTTTTTTGCTTTCCGAGACTCCCTCCAGAAGGCATTCAGCAGGGCACAGTAAAAATCTTACCAGACTCAGCCCAGGT